AGCTAGCCTTAAAGTTTCGGGGATTCTCCTGCCTCAGCCTCCCAAGTGCTGGGATTACAGACATGCACCACCATGTCCAGCATTAAGAATGTTATTTAAATTCTGAAACTGTACAGTATTCAATGGAATCCTGATTAACTCCACCCGCCATTTTATTTTTTTGAGAAAGAAGCAAATTCTTTTTCTACACTAAAGAGTCAAACAAATAATGATACAACTACTTCCACCAAAGTACCCATTAAAGGTTTGTTGAAATTTTCACTCTTTAGAGTAGCAAGCAATTTATAATTTTTGATGTCACAAGTTGCTATAATGAAGACATTTCTATATTCTTCAGTTACTCTGTTATTATTATTCTAGTAACTTGCACAAACTTGTATAAGACTGCCTATCAGTTTTGTATTCTCTTGCTAAATGACTATAGTTGTTGGCTCTTATTGTTTCCTAGAGTCAAGGTCAAGGTTAGAAAAATTGTGGAATTTTCCTTTGCCTTTGCTGTGGTAAGTATACAGCTACTATTTATAGGGACTTACGCTTTGTTGAAAAAAATGAGATACCCTGCTTGGCTTGCCATAAAAACACAGATTCTCCTAGATTCCAATAGGGAGACCTTTTGCTCGCAGCATCTGTTTTAGTTGGCCAGCCAGATGACTTCTAAAGACTTTTTTTTCATTATTGTCTTTGTTAAAGGTCACTGACAGTTTTACAAATGAGCATGTTAACTTAGGATTCTGTAAACTTTTTATTACTTTAGCTCTATCAGTTCGGTGTAATTTTGAAATATTAGGTCATTTTACTTAAATTGTATTACTTCATAAATAACCCTAAAATGATCAGTGCTTTGTGTACATGTTCTTCAGATTGTTTATCCTGCATTTGAGATAGATTTGTATTGGTCTATAAGTTTATGTGTTCAACAAATGTTTAATGAATTCTCACCATGTCTCAGGCCGAATGCTACCTCTGAAAACTATAGATATGAGCAAAACATAGTCCAGTCTTAGAGCGGTTTTTATTGTTTTATATTCAGTGCAAACATATAGACAGACAATAAAAGGGTATTTGGTACTTCCATTGGAAGTTTATTTTATCATTTTAGTTGGTAGGGGCAGGTGCATAGGAAGGCCTAGAATAAGTAAGGCTGAGAATTGTAGAATGAGTAGGGATTAGACAGGTAAGGGGCACAGGATTAAGAGGAAAGAATATACAACGAAGAAATTTGAAGGTGGAAGAGACTCTGGGAAAGTGGGAAAATAAGAAATGTTTGGTACATTTTTGTCATATGGCTGGTCAAATGTGACTATTTGCAAAATGCTGTCTCAGAGACCAGAGTTGTGACCTTGACTCTTTTCATCTCATATGCTAAATTAGTGATTTCTAAACATTTATCATGAATTCCATAAGTAAATGTTTGTGTACCCCAGTGTATAACCATATTTATTTGTAAGTTGATATAGAACTACATTTATATATATAGTAAAATACACAAAAAAGGATGAATAACAGGTCAAATATACAATATGCTCATAATGCAATAGTACATAAAGCAAAATAATACATCATTGTTCTTTAAGATCTTAAATATTTTGTCATATATCTATTCAGAGGGCCGCTTATTTTGATGCTTGATTTTAATAGCAGTTAAACCCTGGATCAAAAAAGGGAGTATGGCTGAACTTTTGAAAACATGACATTTCTTTTTTTTCCCCCTCAAACTTAATTACCAGTTCTGGAAATGTTTTATTGAGATGAGGCTGTCTATATGTCCATCTATGTACTATTTTTTTTTGCAAATTAAAATGCATTATACTTTTATAATGCTAATAGATTAACAATTAACTGAAAGTTTTCATTTGGATTATTTTTTTAAAGATTAAAATATTCTGCTTCTAATTTTTAAAGTGTGCAGATATGAGGTTTTGGGATAGTTTTCAGTAGCAGAATCATTTAGCAATGGAAATGTTTCCAGATAGCCAATTTTCAAATGCTCTGTTCATTAGAATGATGTATTTTTTCCTTTAAAAAGTATTTGGGGTTTAGGAATTTAGCTTAGTGGTAGAGCACTTGCCCAGCATGCTTCAGGCTCCAGGTCTGAACCCCAGAACTAGGGGGAAAAAAATTTCTGATAAAAAACATTTTTATGGGCTGGGGATTTAGCTCAGTGGCACCGCACCTGCCTGGCAAGTGCAAGGTCCGGAGTTCAATCCCTGGTACCTCCAAAAAAAAATTTATAAGAGTAGTTTTTTTTTTAAATATTTAGCAAGTTTGGAACACTACACTTTCATTTTAAAAAATTGTGTAACTCATCTATGTTTAACAAATCTTTTAAGTACTTACCTTGTAGTAACATGAATCCCTGTATTATTTTTTAAAGATAATTTTAAGGCTACTTATCTCATAGAGTGTAGGAAAGAGTCTATATTGTAAAGTAAATTAGATAAAACAATAAATAAATTAGATAAAATCAACCTCAGTGACATCCCAAAATCCTTTCACATACATCTTTTTGGTTCTTATTTGCAGCAGTTTACCTTTGAAGCAGGCAGGTGCTATCTTACTGTAATCTTATTCTCTTTTCAAAAAACTTCCATTACATAGTCATTATAGTTTTCCCATAAAGCATGCTGTTGCACTTGGAGGTGAGAATACATCCTTTTCAGTATGTATATCATTTCTCAGTATCTCACAAAATTGTAGTTCTTTGGGTATTGCAGAATTACCCAGCAAATACTCAAAGCTGAAAGAAACATCTCTATTTTGATCTAACTGTATAACAAACCTTCCATACTATAATTTATCTTGGTGTCTTCACTTGGGTTTTGTAAGACCTTTTGACTATATTTATCAGTAAAAGAATAGTCACTATTTTGTTTTCCATGTTTCACTTCAGACATTTTTACTGTTTCATAGTTTTCTGTCTTTTCTTTGAAGGAAACTTAGCAGTTTAGAAATTTACTAATGTTAATGCAGTTTTGTGAAGCAATTGATTAAATAGCTTGCAACTTTAAACATAGATAGAAAAATTATAGAAGCTTATCTCATGCTGTGACTCTTTAAAGTCCTGGCAGAATTTGAGGACTTTGTTAGTACTGTTAGGTTACACCTCAAGGCAGAAATACTTAGAGTAAGGTTCTTTCTTGTTTCTTGTTTTGGGTTTTTTGTTTTGTTTTGTTTTTGTTTTTGTTTTGTATCAGGGATCAAACTCAGGACCCTGAGCTTGTGAGGTAGGTGCGATGCCACTGAGTTAAACCCCTGGCCTTTTTTTTTGAGACAAGGTCCTGTTATATAGTCCAGGCTGGCCTTGAACTCACTGTAGGCCAGGTTAGCCTCACACTTGAAATCCTTCTTCTGCCTTAGCCTCCCAAGTGCTAGGATTACAGGTATATGACACTGCATCTGACTAGGGTTCACCTTTAGTAAGAATCAGTATGAAATAGGTATAAATATATTTTCTTCTTATGCCCTCGAAGATTATCTTATAGACCTTTCAAGAACACATATCCTACTTTAGAGGCTATTATCTGAAACTGGGATAACAATATTGAAACTAGCCTTTTAGTAAAAACAAAAGCAAGCAAAAATAATTCATTTTGCCACTTGTTTATATTTGGTTGAAAATTGTAAGAATAATCAGCTTTGGCTTAAAGTTTGAAAAATAAGGGCTTTGCTCATAAACAGACTAGAAATAGTGAGTTAGGAAACCCTAGAGAGTAATGGAAAGGTTACTTGTTAAAAATATTATTTAAAAGAATGTTTGCTATAGTTGTCAACCAAGAGAGCCAAAAGTATACCTTATAATAATAATAATAATAATTATTATTATTATTATTTGGTGGTACTGGGGATTGAACCCAGAGCCTTCACATTGAGCTATGTCCCCAGCCCATTTGCGGGGAGGTACCGGAGATGGAATTCAGGACCTTGGGCCTGAGAGGCAGGTGCAGTGCCACTGACCTAAATCCCTGGCCCCCATTTTTTATTTTTTATTTTGAGACAGGGTCTGCTAAATTGCCCAGGCTAGGCTTGAACTTGTGATTCTCCTGCTTCAGCCTCCCAGAGTGCTAGAATTATAGGATTGTGCCACCAGGCCCAGCTTACCTTGTAATTATTTTTGTTTAGAGATGTTTGAATGGGGGTTTTTAATCTTTAGGAGATGTGGTTCATAGCCACTAGGGAATCTCTTATAAAAAGAAGCTTTTTCATAATCCACTTTTATCAAATTTATTGAATTTACTTCATTGCATTTTTATCAGTCAACATTCTTTGGAAAAGATAGAAAACCAATTCTAATAAGGTTGAGCAAAAAAGAATTTATTGACTCATAACCGTATTCAGGAGTAGTCTCAATAACTTTTTTACATGATTTTTGTATCTAGGTTCTAAGTATTAGTTTATCCACGTCTCTCTCGTCTTTGCTTTCTACGTGACAGTTTTACTGTCCTAGAGTACAAAGTTTCCTCTGTGTGATAGTATGGCAATGAAGAGTGCTTTGCTTGTGACGATTGTACATATAAAATCCCATGGGTGGGTCAGGAGTATATGCAGCTACATATGTTTTGTGTTTGGCAGGCCCACAAACCCACATGAAATGATGGCGATCAGTCTTCCAGAGGAGGGGTTTGCTACTACCATAGAGAAAGGGTCCTATGAGTCAAAATAGTAGATGTTTACTATAGCATTTGTAGTGATGAAGAATAGAGAACAAGGAAACATAAATATTGCCTAACATGTTCATAACAGGGCTGTAATTCATATGTCTTGTTACTGGGCAGCTTGAACCACCAGTGGTTCATGCATGACTGTCCCATTGGGTGGCTTTTATTAATTTTATTAGTAAAAAGACTGATAAAAGTGATTAAATCTGTTTGTACTACCAGTGGTACAAGCCATCTGATGGGACAGTCATGCATGTACTTACTACTGGTGGTTCAAGCCAGTAGGAACATGTTAAGGCATAAAACATGACTTAATTTTATTTTCTTCATCATTGATTTTTACAGAGTATGCAAGCTGCAAGATGTCCCACAGATGAATTATCTTTAACCAACTGTGCAGTTGTGAATGAAAAGGATTTTCATTCCAGCCAGTGAGTATCTATTTTCTTTTAACCTGCTAAGTGGTACTTTAGAAACTTCCAAAGAGTCATGTTTAGGAAGCTTTTGAGAATTATTTTTCTGTTATTTTGCTGAGTTGGAAGATGGAAGAAATTAGTTATATATTTAAACATTATTTTGTCAAACTTTGTTAAATACATTTTAAAACCACATGTACCTTTTTTTTTTTTTTTTGGTACCGGGGATCGAGCTCAGGACCTTGTGCTTGGAAGGCAGGTGCCGGAACAACTGAGCTAAATCCCCGACCCCATATGTACCTTTATATACATAACTTTTCATTGATTTTCTTAGAACTAAACATACTACTTGCGTGAATTATAGCACAGTTGTTAGGTGTTTGGCTCTGGAGTCAAATTGTCGGAGTTTGGATTATGGCTCTGCCAATTATAAAGTGGGTGACCATGGATAAAGTATTTATTATCTCTGTGCCTCTATATTCTGATCTGTAAAATGGGGAAGATATTATCTTCCTTAGGGTAGTGTAAAGATTTAGTTACACAAATAAAATACTTAGGTGCCTAGCATATTAATAAAGTTTAGCGATTATGATTATTACTATGATAATCTGAGAGACATGAAAATTAGATGATGTACAACAAATGTATTTTTTTTTTGGTACTGGGGATTGAACTGAGGACTTTGCCCATGCTAGGGAATGATGTTAGACTGAGCTACATTCCCGGCCCTTTTTATTTTTATTTGTTCATTTGTTTGTTTGGTTGGTTGGTTTTTTGAGACAGGGTTTCACTATGTAGTACAAGCTGGCCTCAGACTCACTAGGTAGCCCAGGCTGGCCTTAAACTTGCAGTGATCCTCCTGCCTCAGCCTCCTGGGTGCTGGGATTGCAGGCAGGCATGACTATACCTGACCTTCATTTTTATTTTATTTTATTTTATTTTTATTTATTTATTTTTTTAAACTTTTGGTACCAGGGATCAAACTCGGGTCCTTGAGCTTGCGCAGCAGGCAGCGAAACCACTGAGCTAAATTCCTGGCCCTTTCATTTTTATTTTTGAGACAAGGTCTTGCTACATTGCCCAGGCTGGCCTTGAACTTCTCATCCTTTGCTTCAGCCTCCCCAGTAGCTGGGATTGTAGGTGTGCAACACTGTGCCCCACTCAAATGTGGACTCTCTAGAAGCATTTTTATCGTAATTTATTTTAATTGATTCACATCACTCAGTGATGATGAACTTCCAAAGACCCTGCTGCCAAGTTCAGTGTCATCCATATGCTTCCAAAGTTGAAGATAAGGAGATGAAGGGGCTGTGTACCACAAGGCAGTCTAGGAAATAAGGAAGGAGGCAAGATTTTAAATGAACTATAGAGTAAGAGGCAGTACTGAATATTTGTATTAATACTGTTTCTAGTGCTAAACATTCTGTGATGCTAAATTGAACATAGGATTTTCAGCAAAGAAACTGATATCAATGTGAGAATTTGTTTATGGAATTCTACATATGTTGAATAATCACTGTACTCATGACAGGGTTACTTAAAATACACTTATAAGCATCTTGTGTTCTAGTTGCAAAACAGTATGCACAGAAACACATTAACCATTAACATTAAAAATTATAGCATTGTAAGTTTGGTTCTATTACCTTTCTTTTATTTTTTATTTTTTTATTTTTTGGTACCAGCGATCGAACTCGGGACCTTGTACTTTCAAGGCAGGAGTTGGAACCACTGAGCTAAATCCCCAGCCCTATTACCTTTATTTTATTAGGATGTTTGAAATGATTATCAGGAGAGGAAATTCATCTAGTTTTTAGTTAATATCAAGGACTCTAAATCACTAGCTTTAGTGTTGAATTGAAAATGTAATGAAGTTGATGTTTTGGATTGGATGTACTCTGTTGAACTTGGCTGGATTCTACTTAATGTATGCTTGGCCCAATGTGTTCTTTGTATCTGGAAAACATTTTGAATTGCTGACAGGTTTTAGAAACTAAATTTGTGGTCCTGTCCTTCAGGACTCATGTGGTATCATGTTTCTACCTAGTACTGATCAAACATCAGTATGGGAAAAAGCACATTAGAAATTATGTTCATTTCCTTTGATGTGGAGAGTGACTGTGTTTCTGTCTTTTTTTTTGGCATGGGGGATCGAACTCGGGTCCTTCTGCTTGCGAGGCAGGTGGTGGCACCACTGAGCTAAATCCCGACCCTGTGTTTCTGTCTTTTAGGCATGTGGTTGTGAGGACCTCTCCCAATCACAGGTACACATTTACTCTGAAGACCCATCCATCAGTGGTTCCAGGGAGCATTGCATTCAGCTTACTTCAGGTAACTCGGGTGCCAATTTATTCTTTCCCATTCTTGAAAGCCGTAGAGAAGTCTATTAATTTTAAGCAAACATCACCATATAACTATATTGATTCATATTGAAGAAAAACATCTAGCTATGTAAGGGATTTATTTAAAAATATATTCTTAATTATCAGTTTTTACCATGGCTACCTTTTACTGCCTTGATTTTTTTCAGTTTCTTAAAAATTTTACAGTAGTGTCAGTCAGCTATCAGATGAAGTGGCATCATTTTAATGCTAGCCCCCCAGGTAACAGGAAAGATGTAAAAATGATATTTTATTTATAAAATTGACATCTAATAATAGATGTTTTATGGTGTAATGTCAGACTAAAGAACATGAAAAGTAATTATCTCAAACTACAACCTACTTGCTAGGCTCTCCTAACAACAGGAAGAGTTTTGACTACAGTTATAATTGTTGGTAGAGTCTATGGAATCCACAGAAGCAGATTGCCTAGTACTGTCCGAGGTACAGGGCAGGTAATGTAGGAGCACCACAAATACTAGTTTATATTATTTTCCGCCTTATTGTCTTACTCAGGCTACAGACTCCACAGTCCTACACAATGTAAATGCAACCGCTGCCTCTGTGCTAGTAAAAATTGATTTATTTCCCTGGCAGTTTAGGGAAAAAGATCAAACACTTATTTGGGAACTATTAACACTCTCTTGAAGCCCTTAAAAATAGTGGGAAATCTCTGTTCACTATTCCCCTTTTCTCTGGTTGAATGCCTGTCTATTATTAGGATTACTTTTAACATTTGTTTGAATAGATTAACAACTTGAGGTATTCCAGGGTTTGCAAACTTTGTCAAAGCTTCATTTGGAATTTTCATAGTTAGAAGTAACTCAAGGTAGCCATTTCTCTTTGTCTCTCTGCTTTTTAAAAATAATTTCTCCTAAGATTTATTCTAGCTCAGGGATTATTCTAAGTGCCTTTGAATGTTTTAGCTCATTTTGTTTTCAAAACAACTGCATAAATAGGTACTATTATTGTCATCCCTTAAGGCTATCTTTGGGATTAAAGTACAGAACCTAAATGTGACAACTTTGTAACCCAAAGTCTGGGTTTAACTAGCATGCCTCTAATTGCCAGGTTGGTCAGCTCTGGTGTGGAAATTTATGAAAGGCTCTTTTAAGGGAGGTGGAGACAGAGCGGAGGGCACATGAACTGTGGTGCAAAAGCTAGAAGGGAGCACTTGTTATTGTGTGTAATTACGATGTGGCATCTTATGAATTATCCACCACAAAATCTTAGAATGTTCAGTAGAGTAGACCAGCTATGGATTTCCAGCTCTAAATTATTCTATCACTGTTCTTTAGAATATTAGCAGTAATTACTAATTTTCAATTTATACCACACCAATCCTGAATTCTTCCCTGTACACAATTTGTCCTACTTCTGTACATTTTTGCCACTGTAGACAGGCCAAAGTCTGCCTCTTAATGGCTGGAAATCCTTTGGTTAGTACACATAGAGTAGATTTGTGTCCCTGCTTGGGTCTCAATACAGTTTTATCTACCAGTTTTAACTTAATTTTCATGAATTAAAAAAAAATTTTTGAGACAGAGTCTTGCTGTGTATTTCAGACTGGCCTTGAACTAACTGTATAGCCCAGGCTGCCCTCAAATTTGTGGCAATCCTCCAGACTCACCCTCCAGAATATTAGGATTACAGGCATGCACCACCATGCCTGGCCAAATTTCTTTTTGTAATACTATAATAAATAGTAAAACTAACTGCAGCTGTATCTTTAGAACACTGAAATGTTTGATACAGTGAAAATTTGCGGAACAATATATTGTGCAATGGAGCCTCCTACTTGATGGGCCAGTTTTACTAAAAAAAGGCAAGCTATGTTCTATGTTTTGGAACAGGCATTCAGTTATAAACTGTACTCTATGCATTATTTCCTAGGGCTGTTATAAGAAAGAACCACAAATTAAAACAGAAAATTTAAGCGATAGCAACAGAAAAAGTTCAATTTAAAAAAGAATAAAGGGGCCCGGGATTTAGCTCAGTGGTTCTGGCGCCTGCTGCTCAAGTGCAAGGGCCTGAGTTCGATCCCCAGTACCCAAAATAAATAAATAAATAAAATTAAAAAGAATAAAGTTTTCAAAAGAACAAAAATCACAGAGACCAGAAATTTATTATTTTATAGTTCTAGAAGCTAGAATTATGAAATCAAGGTACTAGCAGAGGTATGCTCTCTCTAAAGCATGGAGGGAAGAATTTTTCCCATGTTTGGCTTCTGGTGTTGGCAGTCCTTAGGGTTCCTTGGCTTGTAGATGCAACACTTCAGTCTCTGCCACTGTTACCACATTCTCCTTGTGTCTGTGTGTCTTTTTCTCATAAGGACACCAGTTTTATTGGCTTAGGGACCACCTTAATTCAGAATGACCTCATCTTAATGTGATTGTGTCTGCAAAGATCTATTTCTAAATAAAGTTGTGTTCACAGGTACTGGGGGCTAAGACTTAAACATATTTTTTGGGGGTGGAGACAGTTCAACACAAAATGTTTTAGTCTGTGTTTCTGCAATTTATAGAATTTCCTTTTTTTCTCATTTTTCTAATTTTAGTTATTTTCATTTAAGTGCCTTTTTCTCATTTATTTTGTAGCGAAAATGGGCTGGACTTTCTATTGGACAAGAAATAGAAGGTAGGTTTTCTTTTTAGCCACCTGAAGTAAAATTTTTTGTGTAATTTTTCTCAGTTATGATCTGTATAACATTCTATTACTGATTATCAGGCCTTAAACATTCATTCTGCTCAGAGTTTGGGTTAGATCTATGAGAACAGAAAGGATATGTTCTTACTACTTTTCTCAATGAAGTGTGCTATAGGGTCATCATAGTTCATTAGAGAAGAGCAAACAAAGCAGTTTATGACTTCGAGGGGGGAAAGACTAAGCACCTTATGGATAATAAGCCAAGAAGATAATAAACAAAAACTGTATTCTCTCTTAGGCAGTGTGGCAAACTTGGAAAAATGGAATTTGGATATTTAATCAAATAATTTTGTGTCAAATTCATGAATACAGTACAAGAAATGCAAGTAAAATTAAACCAATTTTTTCCTCCTTACATTTAAAAGTTTTAAAAATCATTTGTAGAAAAATTGCAGAAATACTGAAAATTACTGTATACCACCCTTGCCCAGATTTATCAGTTGTCATATTTCCACTATAAGAATCTTGCTCAACAGCATTAATGGTCTGTCCTGTGAGTTGTAAAATAATTTCAGAACTGCTGTGTTCACATTACTACAAAAATAAATCTACTAGAAACTTCCAGATTGGTTTATAGCTCTTCTTTTCTCCTAGACTGAGGATACATAGTTAAGGTACTGTATTTAAAAATTACTTGGGCTAATTATCCTTCAACCCCTGTCTCAGAGTGATTGCCTTTGTCATTTTTTATATACATTGAAGTTACTTGTTCCTGTATACATTCAGTTTTAGGCCTCCCATACTTAATTTATTATTTTGAATATGTGAAACAATATCATGCTTTTAAAACTCAAAACTATTCAGAAATTTGTACAATCAGCCTTCCATATCTGTAGATTCAACCATTTTCAGATTTGTTATATTCAGAAAAAAAATTGTGTATGACTGAACATGTACATTTTTCTTGTCATTATTTCCTAAAAATGTAATATAGCAACTATTTACATAGCATTTACATTGTATTAAAGAAATGTGAATGGTAGATATGTCATTTTTTTTTTTTTTTGGTACCAGGGATCGAACTCGGGTCCTTCCGCTTGTGAGGCAGGCCCTGGACATGTCATTTTAGACATGATTTAAAGTATATGAGAGGATGTGCATAGGTTATTTGCAAATCCAATTCCATTTTAAATAAGGCACTTGAGCTTCCCTGGATTTTCCTGGATCTGCTATGGGTTCCTGGAACCAGTCCCCTGCAAATACCAAGGGATTGTACTCAAAAGTTCTGGGAATGGGGGAGATGAGAGAGGGGAGAAAAAGAAGAAGTAAAAAGCATCATTATGTGATATGTATGTGTACCAATTCCCCACAATGACTGTATTTATTACATATTGCAAAAAGGTGGGGAAAGTGTAACTTCTTCCTCTTTCTCTTTTTCTTGTTCTACTGACTTGTTTTAGTTAAATTATTATTTTCTAATTTATCCTTTGGGGTTTTAAAGGTTTTTAAATAAGCACACTTCTATTTTTTAAACAATTTCTCCTTATATAAATATTTATATATATATCTTTCTACTAGATTATTACTCCATTTCAACTCACAGATTTCTTCCTCATTATTTCTTACAGCTGCATAGGGCTTCATTATATATATGTACCTCTATTCAATGGGTACATACTGCACTTTATAATTATGGAGCATATTTGTTTTAGTATTATTAGAGGTGTATCTTTTTTTTTTTTTTTTTGGTACCAGGGATCGAACTCACGTCCTTGTGCCTGCAAGGCAGGAAGCAGAACCACTGAGCTAAATCCCCGGCCCATTAGAGGTGTATCTTCAAGGTGAATTTATGGAAGTGAGATTTTTGGGGCAAAAGCTAAATGTGTGTGTTAGTTTTCTACAGTTGTGTGAAATTAACTATGAATTCAGAGACTTAAAAGAATACCCATTATTAGCTTACAGTTGTGTGGGTCAAAATCTGGTACTGTGTGATAGGTTCTTTGTTCAGGATATCACAAGACCAGATGGATTTTATTTGAATTTGTCAAAGGCTTTCTCAGCATGTAAAGATAATCACATGATTTTTCTCCTTATGCTTATTAACACGGTAGATATATTAATACATTTCCTGATATTGAATCATCCTTGCAGTCTTGGTGTGAATCCCATTTGGTCATGGTAGATCATATTTAATATGGTATTTCAGGCTATTGCTAATACTGTATTTTATTTAGGATTTTTATGTCAGTGTTAAAAAATGGTATTGGTCAACATTTTGTTTTTGTGTGCTATCTCAATCAATTTTGGGTATTAATGTTATCTAATTTCATGAAGAAATTAGGGAGTCTTCTTTAATTTCTATGCCATGATGCACAATTCATTAGCATTGAGACTGGTTTCTAAAGGTTTGGCATAATTCCCTTTAAAACTATCACCAGGATGTGCTGTGCTTTGGCACTTGTGTTCTGTGATAAGTGTCTTCCACCTATGGAAATTGATGTGTTTTAACTTTTTAACTGCTATTGGGATTGATTTTGACAGATTGTTTCCCAGAGAGAGATTATCTGTTAGATTTATCTAAGTTTTTAAATTTATTTGCATGGAGATATGGAAACTCATCTTTTATGATTTTAAAAATTTCCTGTGTCATTAGTTGTTTTTATTTGTCATCCTTTTCACTTCTTAAAAAGTAGCTAATGGTTTGCCTATTTTGTTGATTTTATTCCAGAGAATCAAAATTTCATTAATTTGATCTATTTGTTTTTTTTCTATTTCATTAATATTTATATAGCAAAATTTCCTCCCTGTGTCACTTTTTTTTCATTTTGGTGCCAAGCACTCTGCCACTAAGCTACATCCCAGCCCTCCCTGTCCTTCTTTTGGTGTACTTTGATGTTCTTTTTCTAGCTTTTTGAGTTGGAAATTTTATTTATTTTCACTTTAATTTATATAGATATTTAAGGCCCTGACTTTTTCTCTGATCATTACATTACATGTATATACTAGATTCTGATACGTGTTTTCATTATATTTTTCAGAAATTCTATATTTTCTCTGTGTCTTCTTTCACTGAAGGGTTGGAGGTTTTTTGTTTTTTTTTTAATTTTTACTTGGTCTGCTGCCTGCCTCTCAAGCGAGAGGTCCCAAGTTCCATCCCTGGTGCCAAAAAACAAAACAAACAAAACAAAAAATTTCTACTTGGAATAGTCTTCTTTTTCTCTTTCTCCTCTCTTTTCCCTTCTATCCCTCCCTCTCTTCCTCCTTTCCTGTATTGCAGATTGAACTAAGAACCTCATGCATGTTAGGCAAGTGCTTTACCAGTGAGCTGTTATCGCCAAACCTTTTTACTTTTGTTTGTTTGTTTGTTTGTTTTTTGAGACAAAGTCTTGCTAAATTGCCCAGGCTGGCCTAGAACTTGTGATCCTCCTATCTCTGGCTCCAAGTAGCTGGGATTACAGGTGTGCACCACTATGCCCAACTGTTTCATTTTAACACCAGTTTTTATTGCATTATGTTCAGAGAGTTGTTTATAATATTTGTATTTTATGAAACTAATATTTTGAGACATAATATATAATCAGCTTTTGTGAATGATACAAGTATACCAATTCTCTGTTAACAGGGTGTAGTATTTCTACACTCTCTGTGTTATCAGGGTGTAGTGTTTGCTATATATGTCCATGAGTTCTACTTTCTTGATTATATTGTTACAGTCATCTATATTCTTACTGATCTTTGTTAGCTTGATTTGTCGTGCATTAAGTCTTATGATAAAATATACTATTAGTATCTTTCTGTCCACTTTTCTTTGCATCTCCTGTAGTTTCTGCCTTACATCTAATACACAGATATGTAATGATTGTAGCTTCAATCTGAATTGTGGCCTATAGCATTAGAAAATATTTTTTAATAAGTTTTAAATGCTTTGACGTAAGGATTACAGTCTGATTTCTTGTTTTTTATTTGCTCAGTAGATCTTTGCCCATTTCTTTTTTTTCGATACTGGGGATCAAACTCAGGACCTTGCACTGTAGAGGCAGGTGCGGTGCTGCTGAGCTAAATCCCCCACCCCCCATTTCTTTTTTTTTTCTGTGTTCCAAAATTTTTTGCAGCAACCCTAAAATTTGATAGTAAATATACATTTAGGAACATACATATATCCATAAGTATACATACCTAAGTGATACAAATATTCATTTACATATATGTAACTGCATGAAAAAGGTCTTAAATAGGGCACTCCCAGAATATGTTATTCTGGGAAGCAGAGGAGAAGACAGGCTGAGGAGGATGTGGTAAAGGGACATTTAGTCAATGTTCCAAATTTTTAAAAAGTTATTTTATTGGCACATTTTAGGTATACAGTACGTTTACATCCGTCATTGGGCACTTGTACCTGTACATGATGTACTTAGTTCTTATTTTTTCCCCCATTACCTGCGCACCCTTCACCCCTCCACCCTTCCTTGTTTACATAGATTTCGTTTCCATTTCTTTATTATGAACAACGTGAATCATTATGTTTTAGATATGACTGTTAGATACAACATAGAATTGAGATTTGCTTTATAAACTAATTTGAAAATCTTTTTCTTTTAATGTTAGTTAAGCTATTCATAGTTATTGATATAACTGACATGTTTGATCTCAGTTCTCATTTTGGTTTTGATTATGTTTGTGTGGTTTGTCTGCTGTTTTACATTTTTCCTTTGGATTTTAAGAATGTTTCTATCTTTGAGTCAGTAGTTACTTTGTTATTGGTTTCTCTCACAGAGCCCTAGTCTCCCTTTTTTTCTTAATCTTTAAAAAAATATTTTCTGTCAGTTCTAACTTTTTCTTAATCTTTTAAAAAAATTTTTCTGTCAGTTCTGTCCTTTTTTTGGGGTACCAGGGATTGGACTCAGGACCTTGCGCTTGCGAGGCAGGTGCTGGAACCACTGAGCTAAATCCCTGGCCTTTGATTTTTATCTATTCTCTATGCAGTCAGTGAT